CAACGGGGAATGCCCGCGCGCGCCGCGGCTCTGTGTTCGACGAGCAGCGGGAATTAATAGTTTCTTCATGCTCGTGCTTTTCCAGCATCTCTTAATAATCGCGTCCTGCAAGAATTTTTTTTTTTTCTTAAATACGAGCGTGCATGCCCACCGCGCGCGCACCGTACATTGTACGCGCGTACAAAGGCTCGAAATGAGCGAACGAAATGATTTCCATCGTCGTCCCTCCCTCCCTTCCATTTCGTTGATTGAAGCGTTTCGAAAGGGTACAAAACTTGCACGTCAAAGGGTTAAGGGAAAAGAGGGTACCGCGGGAACGGGGTCGGATCTTTTTTTCTTCCCCCCGCCGGCCTCCGAGCTCGTTGTTCGAGTTTCGGGCTAAATCCTCGGCTTGGACGAAGTGGTTTTCACATCGGCTACCCCGACGGCCGCCAGCCTCGTCGTGTAGTTGTACGCTATTGTAGCCTACGCGCTTTCTAGCAGTCGGTGTTAGTTCCCTGCTCGCTCGTTCCCCTCATTCGGGTTTCTACTTAAAAACCTGCGGGGTCAGTGGTGCTCAGACAGCTAGACTTGGATTGACGCAACCAATTAAGAGCGTGGTAGAATGGAACCTAGGTAACTTTACTCTGCGGTTAGGTCGCACAGTGGAAGCAAATAAAGCCTTGGCTTCGCACTAGAAACTTTTCGTGGAATTTCGAGACCCAGCGATACCGGACGATGTCTGAGTTGTCTGAGGAACAATTAACTATTCTTGAGTTAATCAGGCTTGTAAATTTAGATTTTCAAAAGAAGTCCCTTTACCCTCCCGAGAGGCAATAACGAACTACAAATGTGTGATGCGATTTACCTTGAGACTATTGTATTCGACGTCGAACGATACAATCGCTCCATCGAGTGTTTTGATTCAAACAAGGAGTTATAGCGCTACGGGCAGGCGTCTTGTAGTAACAACATGATCTTTCAGATCATAAATTAGAAAGATTATATAGTTGCGTACTTTTGGCTCTAGAACTTTTCTTAATTAGGCGAACAAATTCTCTGAAAGAGAAAAGTGACAGGAGGGTCAACCATAGAACAATCAGAAACGCCGGTCCGTCTTTGTTTGCGCGAGCAAAAGACAACAAAGTGGCGTTCAATATAGATTGTTCCGTATGCGCGCGATACAGTTGAATTATGTATAAATGTAAGTGGTTAACGTTCGGTTCTCATGGCAAGGCGAGTTCGCGCGATCTCGATTCGCACGACGATACGTTTCACGTCGGGTCGACGTTAACCCGCGATTTGAGAGTCACTGACACCGCGCCGCAGACCGACGGAGACCCCCGTATTCGGGACGCAGCTGCGGCTGTGCGCAGCCGTCATGCGCAGCGAACGGGATCACGTGACGCGGTGCCACGGTGGGCGCCGTCGGCGCGCGATTGGCCGGCATCGCGATACAGATCCCCCGTTCGGCGTCGCCCGAACAAAGAGACGAGGCTACCCCGTCCGTGGTCGCGAGCGCTGCCATTAGAAAGTCGTCGGTAGTCGATGAGTGCGGAAGCTCCGCGAGTCGGATCAAAGAGCGAGAGGGAGAGAGATAAAAAGAGCCCTGGTCCATTAGTTCGGACGTCGCGAGAAAGTTTATTGGCCAGTATCCGCCGGGACTCGGCGAGAGAAAAAGAGAGAAGGAGACAGGCACGCAGAGTAGAAGGACAGCGAACCGATCGGCTCCCACCTGATCCGTCGATACATCGGACCGTCCACAAGTCTCAGGTCGGCCGCGAATCGTCATAGGACCGATCCGGTGCGAAACGGAGCGTGACGGGAAACGACGTGCGTTCTGCCCGCGGACGACGGTGAGGGACTCGCGTCGCGAGAACGAGTCGACGAGGCGAACTCGCGGAGTGGTGAGAAACGACGCTCGCGTTCGGGAGCCCGATCCCCCGCGTACATCTGCAATTGTGCGCCGGGTTGCATCCTCGTCGGACAGAGCGAGGATCCTCGAGGGACGCTCCGGCGGTTAGCCTGTCGCGCTGGAGGGTCGACGACGCACGACGAGCGCTGTAGAGTGCTACGCAGCGACGTGGCGACGACGCCATTTTGTGGTGACTGCCGTGCGCTTCTTTCGGCATCAGCGCCGCCGAGCCTACTCATCGCCGCGCCGTGACCCGTGACACGCGCGTATCTCCGATCGCGTTCGTCAATAAGTGTAGAACGACGTGGAGCGCCTCTTTGGCCTCCGGAGCCTTGGATCGGCGACGAAGAGCGAGAGAGAAGAGTGTTCGTGTATTTGAGCAAGTGCGTCATCGGCGTGACTCCCATTCGCGCACCGTTAATCTCACCGCGGTAGAGAGAGGGAGAGAGAGAGAGAGAGAGAGGACGGGAGAGTTCCATTCGATTTTCATCATCGTCGACGCCATCGCCCTGGGTCACTACCGACCATGAGACTGGAAATTGTGTCGGCGGCGGATTTTCTGGTGCACCTGCTGCGCCTGCAGGCGGGTCAGCTGTCGGAACGGCAACTGGAGATGTTCAAATCATCGCTGACGGAGGTGTTGCGCCATCGTTATCGGGATCACTGGTTTCCAGATCGGCCGAATCGCGGCTCCGGCTATCGTTGTATACGCATCAACGGTAAAATGGATCCGGTGATCGCGCAGGCCGGCGCGAACGTCGGCCTGCTGCCTACCGTCCTGCACAGCCTGTTCCCCAGCGAGCTCACCATGTGGATCGACCCGTCGGAGGTGTCATACAGGATCGGCGAGAACGGTTCCATCTGCGTGTTGTACGAGCGCACCGAGCCCGAGACTCCGGAAGAAATCTGCCAGCTGCACCAGCATCATCAGCATCAACAGCAGCAGCAGCATCATCATCATCATCATCATCATCATCAGCAACATCATCAGCACCAGCACCACCACTCGCAGCAGCAGCAGCAGCAATCGCCAACCCTGCCGCCGCCACCGCCGCCGCTGCAGCAACAGCAGCAGCAGCAGCAACAACAATTCGAGAGCTGCAAGGATTCCCTGTTGCTGGAGCACACGCAGTTCAGCGAGCAAATCGCCGCGTACGTCTCAAGCTGAATCGCCGGGCTCGCCGCCGCGCTCGCGTCCACGCTCTCGAAATGATCTACCAAGCGCACGTGCATCTCGTGATATGTGATATCCCGTGTGTCGCGTCGGACCGAGCAGGTCCACGCGCTCGACCCTTCGTGGACTCCCAACGTGCGTGCGTGCATCCCCCTCCTTGCGCTTAATCTACCTTCTTCTCTCCCTTTTTCTTTTCTTTCCATTTCTTTTCCTTTTCCTTCCCTTCTCCTTTCCTTTCTCGGTGCGCCAAGAGTCTCTCGAGCGAAGAGTCGATCCTCCATCGCCGTTTTCTCCTCTTCTCTCTCCTCCCTCCTCTCTCTCTTTCTCTCTCTCTCTC